AACTCTATGTGATAAACAAACTTCACTTGTCATCAGCACTCAAATGTGCCAGTGCTAACTCTTTCTTCTCTATTTTCTTCATTTCCAGCTTCTTTGCCACCATCTCCAGCTCTTCAGCATAGTAGTTTTTATTGGGAACAGAAGAAATCTTATTTAAATGAATCAAGAAACAGATATAAAGGTAATAACCTAAGTGGACACTCTCAGGCTTGAACATGTGGTGTCATACTCGTCAGCCCAAGATTTTACCATTACATCAAGCAATGGCCGTTCAAATCATAAAATGTCCTCAAACAAAATCAAACCTCTCAAATCATGCAGACCTAGACTAATCAACAAACCCCAGCTAGCCAAGATGGATACCCAATCCTGGTGAAAGGGCTGACACTCAGAAATTGCATGATTAGGTGATTAGGTGTTCCCCCTGGACACCAGGGATCTAGCATCATGAATATGGCAAGGCAGAAGCCAAGGCCCTTCAATTGTACATATCATCCAACTGGTTACTACCTTGAATCCTCTATCACAAGAGGCATCCAAAGAGTGCAGTGCACTTAACCTATGAAGTAACACAAATTTCTGGTATTATTGAAGCCCCATTACCAATGGATCCTGAATAAACAAAGACAATTTCCTCTTATGAATCTTTAAATGCACCCAGTTACTCCCAAACTTCTGAATAATACTATCCCTAATCTTACCTGAGATTAAATATGAAGAATTCAGCCTAGCTAAACATAATTAAGAGTACCACCAAATGGATCATTGAAGTGGAAAAACCTAGAAGGCATCAAGCAGTAGTGGAGAATTACATGTAAACTAAAAGAAAAATTATAACAAAGATGAAGGGAAACTACAAATAATAAAGTAGTTGGCTAAAAATACACAAAAAACAGTTAAAAATAGCACAACTTATACACCAACATCAATGGATAACATTAAATTAAAAGCCAACATGATTACGAATGGAAGGTGCAAACTATAAGCATATCAAGAAGAAGTCCACATGATAAATTGATAGTAGGGTTTCGATTAATATTGACAATAAAGAGCAAAAAGGCTCAATTCTAAGATGAAGTTGAAACTTCTTACAAGTGTATCTTCCGATATGTGCTTCTGATGTTCCCGGTTTCATCAATTAAAACATGTGTATTATACAAGTGCGAATCATCAGGTCCTTTCTCTTGAAAGCCTCCAAGGGACAACCAAATGTTGGATTCTCTAGGATTCAAATATGCAAATAGATCAGTGAAAACCGTGGAGATAGCCGTGTACAAGCATAGGAACTTTATAATGTGTCGGCACTGATAACTAGTATGAATGTTAACAAGAGGGAGGAGAAGAGAAAATAAAGGAGAAAAACGGAGGGGCAATGGAATAGATAAAATAGAGAACGAACTGGCATTACCAAAGTTAAAAAGGAAATTTGGGCTTAGCCTTTGTTTAAATAAAGACATAAGTGAGGCAAATGCATCTCTCCTACTGAGAATTTAAAAGGAAAGAAGGGGGGTGGACGGAGCATGCTTTTCTGCAAGCGGCATCATATATGAACAAATAGTGTGGTCAAAGGGTGGATGCCACTTATAGAAGCAGCAAGTTGAAAATGTGCAAAAAGAAAAGAAGAGAAATAAATATAAAAAAAAAGGATGAGTAATATCGTTGTTTTTCTTTTACCTTGCAAGAGAACAGTATCCTTGCATGATTGGTCCATCCAAATTTTCCGCGATCTTAAGACTTTCCCCTTCCCTGGCGCCCATGTAAGAGAAGTTTTCGGGGAAACAAATCAATTTTGCCCCTGCAGCAACCGCTTCCTTCGGCGAGTCAATTCCATAAATTCTCTAAGTTAGAATGTGAAAACCATCCAAAATATATTAAAAAGAAGGAATTACAGACAATAAGCAAGTCTCAGTGGGTCTATAAGATGCATTGCTTTAAGATAAGTAAGGCACTAGAGACATGAATTGCTTCAAGGGCATAAGGATGAATCTAGTAGGTAATACCTTAAGTATCACGGACATTGATCAGTTTAAGTCATTTCACGACCTCAATCAATAAAAAAATAAAGCGAAAGGGAGCTGAGGCACTCTGTAATGCGTCAATTAGTTTAGGGATTGATATTCCATAACTAAGAGGCGCCAGCAATCGTGGAATCACTCCGGAAAGAATAAGTCGGAACACTTGGTATTCCGCTAAGGATACCCTAAAAATTAAAATACAGGGGGGTACAGCCATAGAATACCTTGACAAGGCGGGTGCAGGTGTTAAAATTAGCAGATAGGTCGTTGATGGAAGTCATCTGAGCGGCGGCCACTCTCACTGTGTTGGTCTTCGCCATGGAAGTGGAGCTTTCGCAGGCTAATATGCGGATCGAAATCGGACGACGAGGAACTACTAGTGTGGTGTTTTGGATTGGGAGTAGAGCAACTGCCATTTCTCGGAGTATTGAGTTTTGACTGTTGCGGACAAGTTGATGGCGGCATTTCTCGATCGGTCGACCAACCCAACCCGCCGTTAGCCCACATGCACATCTCAACGTGCATTAAGAACATCTTTCGTACTTGTCATTGATCCCGATACACAGTTGAATGTGCTGTGGGACGTTTTTGGGCGCATTTCGTTGGGGCAGATGTAACTTTCCGTTTCGCAAACGGGTTCACGGGTTCGCGTGGGTTCGGCGTGCCGCGTGCGCGTAATCAGAACATCCACCATCCTTCAGTCGGATTCGGACCTTGTCGCTACTCCCAAATCCCTACCCACACGACATTAAGTGAAAAATTCAAAACTATTCATACGTAAGGCTCATTGGAAAAGAGTTCACTCCTCCCGCCCTGTATTGAGAAAATTTCTCGATAATGACATCATCGACTCTGATACATCATCGAGAGATGCTTTTAATACACGGTGGGAATGTGTTGTGAGGCGGAGATGTGGTTTTTATTGAAACGGAGTAATGTTGTGGAATACTGAATACAGCGCAATTAACAATGTCCCAACGGCCTACTAACGTGGTGGGTCCAAATTTTATGTTGTGTGGTGTTAGATTATGTTGAAAGGGTGTTGGAATGTATATGGTTGGTAAGTGATTTCAATTCATTGTCACTCAGTGGGAGATGTTCTGGGCCTGGATCACTTGTTAATAAAATATGCTCCAATACCCTATCAACATCATATGATACTTTCATACATAATGGGTCTCACTTTTATGATAAGCTCTAATTTTATAGTGAGATGTGTGGTGTTAAATCAAGTTAATAGAGTATTAGAACAGACTTCACATCTCCACCCCACAACGTCCCTCTCCACAAACAGGTTTTGTTGGCATGAAATCCCAACTCTATCAATGCGTGGTTGTAGTTGCCAGACGCCAATTGAGACATATTTGCAGCATATTGTTGGTAGAGGATCCGAACTTGATGCCATAGGTCTATTAAACTCTCTTTGAAAACTGCCAAAGGATGCTCAAGAATTAAGAGAAATGACATTCTCACACCTGTTTTTTTTTTTGGTAGTTGACATTCTCACACCTGGAGAGAAGGTTACTTGTGACTTTTCGGGTCAGGGCAACCTTGAGAAGTGTTTAGTTGGTTGCATTTCTTCCTCCTGTATCCCCCAGACCCCTACCCACACTTAAAAAAAAAATAAAATAAAATAAAATAAAATGCTTTGACCAACTATCATGGAAATGGGTGAATGGATTGAGTGCTCCTAATCAACTTGAGATGAAGGCTTTGACTGAGAGTGCACAAGATTCTACTCATAATAGTCATGGGAATGGGTCCATTTTTTTCTTAATCAAACAATTGAGAATTCCTCTCATCCCATCTAAGTCTAAATAAGATGAGAAACTTTCCCAGAAAACCATGCTTTTTCTCACAAAAAATCTGCTAATTTTAAGTCAAGCTAAAGTTGAATGATGATCTATTTACATTCTGATCCTCTATCTATATATCGTCTAATATTTAATAGTTATAGGAAAGCTTTGGCTGTTTGGCAGTTTCTTGTGCATGACATGTTATCATGAGTATGGGGTAAAAATTATTTGCAATTAATATTATTTTAGTTAAAAAGACAGAAAAATTAAAAAGTTTAATAAGTTAAAAATTTAAAGTTTTCACAAATTTATTTAAACATACTTTCTTAGGACACTGAGGGGGGTATTCTTTTTTTTAGATTTTGAGAGGAGGAAATTTGGTCAATGAGATTTTAGTTTTCATTGACCAAGAATCCCATGTTATTTTTTCAGATTTATGTGGAGAGTAGGAAAAATTTATTTTTCTCGGTATCACATCTCCTAGGTGGATAGTCAACACTTGAATGAGACAAAAATGCCCCTTTTAATAATGGATTTTTATGGATAAAATGATCATTGCTTTATTTACATAAGAAATAAAATAATATGGATAAATACACTTACCCGAATAAATATTTTTCAGAAAAAACTTATCTAGGTAATTGTATTTACCTGGATAAATAACTTACCAAAAAGCAAACAGGCCCGAAAGAATTGTCTTGTACATTAAGATACCACCTTGCAAACCCTACTATCCCTAAAAACTAGACCTGTTCATGGGCCGGGCCGGGCCGGGCTCAGGCCGGGCTTTGACTCTTTATTAACAGAAAACTATTAGGCCCGAGCCCGAGCTTGGCCCTGATAAAAAGCCCGAAACCCGAGCCCGAAGCCCGACCTAATAAAAGAAATTCAAAATTTTTCGATATTTTCTATTTTAATTTAAATGTTTTTTCCCCTATTTAAATGAACAATGGGCCTACAAGTGAATCAATGACCTCAAATCAAAAAATTTATTCAAATAGACATCACATAGGGTTTTTACTTAGGTTTAACTATAGGTCGGGTCGGGTTTACTTAGGTTTAACTATAGGTCAGGCCGGGCCGGGCTCGGGCTGGGCTATTTTGGCAAAACCCGAGCCCGGCTCGAATTTTATGTGGGCCGGGCTTTTTAGCCCGAGGTTAAGCCCGTGGGCCAAAAAGCCTGTTTAATCCTGTCCGGGGGTGGGGCCGGGCCGTCAGGTCACCCGGCCCATGAACAGATCTACTAAAAACAGACATCAGAGGAAATAGAATCTACAAACTCGGTCACCTACCAGAACATGACAATATAAAAAATACAAGTTGAACGGCAAAATTATTAATTATGGGATATGACTAAAACCTGCTGAACATTTTATGAATCACCATCGATGTATTAGTGAAATTTTTGGATAAGGCATCTTGTAAGTCAAAGCTAACAGACCCCTTTTCTAGCCACCAACCAGACAGAGAATCTCCTTCGAAGCTTAAAATAATAATATCAAATTAAAGGCAGAGAGGAAAAAACTAACATGATTTGAGGAAATTATGAAAAAGCTAATGATTTCCTATATATTACTAGAAGAAGCATCATTAGCTTAAAATTATTTGGTATGGGCTTACAAAGCTCCATTGAAGACAGAAGATTCCCACTGTAATCAAATTGAAAGAAACAAAGAAAGTCTAATTCAACTGTAGCTTGATTTTGAAAAGTTCTACCAATTATTTATTTATTTATTTAATGGGATAATACCAGCAAGAAATAAGGTCTTGTTCGATTTTCACCTATTTAGATAAGTGATACATGAGAAAATTAACTTTTTTATGGATTTCGCATAAATCTAAAAAAGAATGAAGCAAACGATCACTGATCACGCCATAGCTAAGCAAGAAGTGATGAAAAACTTTCTAGGCTTACAAAGAATAGCCATACTACACTAGAGATGCAATGAAGACCAGCCATTTATCTCTCTCTCTCATCAAATTTGTAGGGCAAAACAAGGTTTTAAAAAATTTAAATAGGGTGGGACTCAGGGTAGGTCGGGCCAGACCCAGCTCAATGCCAATCCTAGAAACAGTTTGGACATCTGAATTGTCCTTGGATTGTTATCCTTCTGAGTTCAGATACTGTTTACAAGGATTCGGTGGAACTATCTGTCATGGGAAGAGGGCTCTGTTGCTGTCTAATATAGACAATCAATTGAATCAAGTCCAACTCATTCAGCCAATGAACCCAGTAGCTGAGATGGTCACTTGACGTCCTTATGGCCTGTAAAATTGCTGGCCATCACTGGTAACACCAGTGGACTTTAGGTGTATACCCTGCCCTGTTTAGCTGCTCTGTCTCCGCCCCTTATGCATTGCGTGGGCTTTTTACTAGTTCTAATACAAAAAGTATATATTCTTTTAAGCTTATTTTGATGTAAGTTAGGATCCACCAATAGAACTTTGGCTGCTTTACCAAGTAGATTAAAACTGACCTAGGTCTTCTTTGAGCTCATAAGAATTCAGCAAGGTCTAGACACTATTTCTTTGCTCATTGCTGCCATATTTGTAGACCAGGGTCTACAGGTGAAATTTGAATTGAAGCCCCACTGTTTTAACATTTAAAAGCACACATTAAAAGGCTCGATTTAGAAGGAGAATAAATACAAATTTGTAGAGTGCAAAACTTTGTATGTACGGTATTTTATATTTGTAGAGTGCAAACTTCGATTAACCACTTCAGTTTGTTCATCTGTTTATAGGTAAAATGTACTGCTATATTGTAAAGTATAAATCATACGCTTCCATAAAGTCCTCTAGAAGTGGCTAAGAAATCTTGTATCACAATCTGATGTGATAGACCTTGGCAATCCATGAAACCAAACAACTAATTTTAAAAAACAAATTAGCTACATGAGAAGCATTAGAAGTCTTTTGGTAACCAATGAAGTGGTCCATTTTAGAGAAATGGTCAACCACAACGAAAATAGAATCATTACCCCTAGTTGTTCTTGGCAACCCCAACACAAAATCCATATTAATATCAGTCCATGGTGCTTCTAGTATGGGTAAGGGAAGATACAAATTTACCTGTATTTTGATGTTGCCCCTTAGATATTTGGCACTTGTGACATCCATTAATATAACAGAACATATCCTTTTATAGCATTGGCCAAAAGTACCTTTTGGAGACCATTTCAAGTGTCTTCTTGCGATCACTTAATTGTACTCATCTAGTTTCACATTGGTCGCAAGAAGACACTTTAAATGGTCTCCAAAAGATACTTTTCGCCAAGGTTACAAAATGATGTGTTCTGCTATGTTGATAGATGTCACAAGTGCCAAACATCTAAGGGGTGGCATCAAAATAAAGGTATGTATCTTTCCTTACCCATACTAGAAGCACCATGGATTGATATTACTATGGATTTTGTGTTGGGGTTTCCAAGAACAACTAGGGGTAATGATTCTATTTTTGTTGTGGTTGATTGTTTCTCTAAAATGGCCCACTTCATTGGTTGCCAAAAGACTTCTGATGCTTCTCATGTAGCTAACTTGTTTTTTAAAGAAGTTGTTCAGTTGCATGGATTGCCAAGGTCTATCACATCAAATCATGATATAAGATTTCTTAGCCACTTCTGGAGGACTTTATGGAAGCGTGTAATTTTTACCCACCAATATAGTAGTACATTTCACC